AGAGCTCTATGAGCCCTCAATAAAATGATTCTTTTAAAATGTGCTGAAAAACAGCTATCACCACGTATATGCAGTATCTGGATGGGAGCGACTGCACGCTGCTATTCTCCATCATCCAGATGGTGTGTCTTTGTCCGGATCCTGCCTCTGACATTTTAAGGCTTACTAAATGTTCTCCTGAAATTAAGTTTGAGATTTGGTGTCTCGTTTGTGTGGCCCCAAAACACAGCCCACTCGGAAGCACCATCAGAAGACCCACCTGGCTGCCTGGAAAACCCTCCTGAGCAGAGCAGTCCTGCTCTGCACACGAGGGGTCGCCGGGTATCAGAGTCAACCGATCACTACTAACAGCAGCAGCCCAGCAAACCGTGGAGAAGCGAGGGAAAACGTGCCAGCAAGAACTCAGCCCCCTTCACGTTGGCTAGTCTCTTTCAGTTTAAATACGTAGTCATCCAATTCCCTACTTACTACCGTGGATGATGGGATGGCCATACTTTTAGGTAGTCAGAGGTAGTCTTTCTGAGTGGGGCCTCGTCTGCTTTCTTCATCTAACCTGACGTCTGGATAAATGGGAAAAAAGACAAGGAAGAAAGACGCAGTTGTCATTGAGTTAATTCCAAACCATGGTGGCCTCCCTCCTGTGTCTCAGAATAGAACTGGTCTCCGTAGGGTTTTCAATGGCTGATTTTTCAGAAGGAGCTCACCAGACTTTTCGTCTGAAGCACCCTTGGGTGGATTCAAACCTCCAAACTTTCAGTTTAGCAGCTGAGCATGTCAATCTCTTGTGGTTGCTATACCCTTGTGGCGGGATGATGAGAATCTGCAGAAGCCTGTACTGTCCTCTGGATCCTGCTGCCTTCTGTTCCCAGGACAGGGGGTTGCTGGGGATTGTTGCCATCCATGGTGCTAGGCGTTTCCAAGTCCTGATGCTAGGCGTTTGCCCTCTCCCATGTCATATTACTGGAATGCGTAATGGTGTCTGCATCTCCTGTGTATCAGGTACAGGGACCCAGAAGCATGGTCTCAAGCTTGTGTTTCTCATGACCTCCATGCCAGGGCACCAGGTAACCATGATACTCAACTGGGCTTATCGTTGTATTCTTCAAATGCCCAGAAAGTGAGTTACTGGCCATTCTTAAATGCCTCACTTTATCGCTGGCTTTTTGGAAAGGCCCTAAGGTGTAGTTCTGAGATTATGGTGAGGTTGAGAAATGAGATCCTGGTACCCAGGATCCTTATTCTTTTCTTCTACCCATGAACTCGTGGAAGGAACAGGCTTCAGGTTTTCCGGATCGTCCACTTCAGGTCTCGATGCCTGCCCTTGAATTCCTGTTACTGGTGCTCACAGAGACAAGTACAGGATTTGAGAGTCGGTGTTAGAAAACTCGTAGAGTAACGACTTTGCAGTGATAGCTACGTGTGTGTTTAGCAGACTCTTTCTTTGAATAAGCTATGGACCAGTTATGTCTGAGTTACAAATAATGTAAGCTGCATACTGAAAAGGCTTCCAGTGCTTTATCGACTTGTTGAAACAGCTCTGACTCCTAGTGACCATATTTACAACCGAACAAAACACTGCCCAGTCTTGCCATAGCTTCACAATCGTTCACCTGCTTGCGCCCATTGTTGCAGCCACCGTGTCAATCCAGCTTGCTGAGGCTTCCTGTGTCGCTGCCCCTCCGCTTTACCAAGCACGACATCCTCTCCACCTCCTGACAACACGTCCTGTGCATGAAGGAAGTCTTCGTCCATTCTAGCTTCTAAGGGGTATTCTGGTTGTGCTGCTTCCAGGACAGATCTGCGGGTTGTTTTGGCAGTCCATGGCACTGCCGACATTATTCACAAACGGCATCGTTCACATGCACTGACTTTTATTCAGTCTTCTTTATTCAATGTCCAACTTTCACATGCACATCTGGGCGGGCTCAAAGCTCCAACCTTCGAGTTAGCAGTCGAACATGTTAACTGTTTGCATCATCCAGGGACTCAAGTCTAAGAAAGGAGAAGAGAATTCAGGAAACACAAACTTTGCCACTTTTCCTCTCTTTCTTTGCCATCTTTGTCCTCTGACTTCTCACTGTCAGCCTCTTCTTCCAAAGCAGCTACCTTACCGAGTTAAGGACCTGGGTAGGGCTCTAAAGATGGGAGGAATTTATGAGGCAGATTCAAATTGGTTCATGATATGCTAAATAAAGAAGGAAATAAGGGAGCTTAGAAAATTTCTTCTCCAGAAAATAGCCTGGTGCACAGCTATTATTCCATTGCTGCATAATCATATTTTTGATTGTCAAGACCTGAGTATTGCTGTGGCCTTTCTTTCTGCATTCTGCCCTGGAACATTCTAATCTCCTCCCAGGCAGACGGTAGCCTAGGATGAACTAGGGAGAAGGTCACCCTCTCAAGAATCGCACACAGAAAAGCACATTAACTGTGGTACAGCTATTTCCCACCTTACAATACTGTGTGCAGTATTGTAAGAAAGCGGCTTCTGAGACCTCTGCATAATTTACATTTTGGAAACATTTTGGAAAAGGACACTCATTGTGTCCTTTAGGCTTCACGATATCCCCTGGGGTTGGTACAATGATCAAGTGAAGCAAGTTCTTTGGGCACCCAGATTGGGTGGCACTGCCAGGTGACCAACAAGTAGTTTTGGAACTAGTTATGAATATGCGATAGGCTGGGGGTGGGAGAAGCAAGGCTACAGAAAAGGGGGCAGGACCCAATGGTGATAGGCATCTATGGAGGGCTGTGAGTCAGGGAGCAGGCGGGGAGATGGGACAAGCTGCTGAATCAGCTGGGATGCTCTTGTTGCTATTGCTGGGGGCCACGAAGTGGATCCAGACTCATAGTGACCCTGTAGGCAAGAGTAGAACTGCCCCCACAGGGTTGTCCAGCCTGATCTTTGTGGGAGCAGAAGCGAGGCTGTGGAGCTGACGGGCCAGCCTTTTGCTTAGCAGCAGAACGCTTTACCCCTTGTGTCCCCAGGGATCAGCTTTTCTAGACTTCTGTACTCCACCCACCTTGAATCACGAAGGAATCGCTTCCACAGTCCCATCTGCTTGGAGGTCATCCAAACATCTTAGATCAGACCAGTGGCCAAACCATCTTTAGGAAACTGCGCTTCCATTTCTAATGTGATGGCAATCTCATCCATAGGCCTTTTGTACCCTTTATATTACTCAACACCGGCAATGAGCCTTTGAACAGATTTCTTTTTTTTTTTTTCCTTGTAATTTCTGGAAGCAATCAACTTTTCTTCTCCAAATGATGACATCAACTTGAACAACATGGGTAAGCAATGAGTGTGCCCAGGCAGTGGGATACAACTCTTGCTCAAGCTGCCCTGGCACAGGTCCTTTGAAGCCCCACCAACAAGGTGTTGTTCTCTCTCTCCTCCCCTGGTCCTCACTCACCCCCCTCACCCCTCAATTCATCAGAGAATCATCTTCTCTCCCAGTATGCTGCTGTACATTGCAGTCAACTCAATGCCAGCTTGGTCCTTCTTGACCCCCGAGCACGTTAGCATAGAGCGGTACTCTGCAAGGTTACCAGTGGCTGCATTTTCAGAAGTAAATCACCAGGCCTTTTGATCCAGGTGCCTCGGGTGGGACTCTAATCTCCAGCCTTTCCATTAGCATTGGAGTTTGTTAACCATTTGCACCACCCAGGGACCAGTCAGGTATACAACTCAAAGCCAAACTCTCTGCCATCGAGCGGATGCGGACTCACAGCGACCCGATAAGACAGGTTAGAACCACCCTGTGTATTTCTGAGGTTGCTAACTCTTTGTGGAGTAGAAAGCTCCGTCCTTCTCTGGAGAAGTAGCTGTTGGGTTTGAACTGCTAACCTTGCAGTTAGCAGTCCAACCTATAGTCATTATTTCCAGCCACCATAGTTAACATCTCAAAGCCCTTTCCGAATGAAAACACAAATACACGGCTTTCATGCGTTAGCAGGAGCATGCAATGGCTCAGAATTGAGGTCCTGGATGACACAGGGTCTAAACTCAGATTCTGGGTTCCTGATCTTGAGACAGTGTGGGACTGTCAAGTGGAGTAACTTCTCGGTGTTTCCACCCCTAAAGTGGTGAGACTCCCAGCCTGACTCTCGAGGGGCTTTGGGAGCATCAGTGTGCTGGCACTCAGCACAGCGCTGGGCCCACAGTGACCACTCTCTGGTGAGTGATTAGCAAATGTGTTTGCGCTTCTTCCCACGGAGAGAAGGCAGGATGGTGTCGTCTTTCACGGCAAACCTGTCGGACCTGTAGTGCTAGCTGCCCCAGAAGACAACCTGAGCACACGGCAAATGACCTGCTCTCTTCTGACAAGGGAACACCCCATAACAACAAAGTCCCCAAGGAGTAGTCCAAAGTGGGATCTCAGGGCAGGCTCAGGACAGAGCCAGGCTAGACCTGCCGGTATCAAAGGGCTCAGGGGAGCTATGCAGAACCACTCCCCCCACGATGATTCAGACACAGGCCAGCTGCAAGCCTCTGCCGTGGCTGTCTCTCTGTGGTTAATGGCCTCTCCGAGGCAGCCAGCTGCAGAGGCTGTGCACACGCAAGTAGTAGGGCCCCCTGCGTGGGCAAAGATGAGAAGAAACTGTCCCTGTGTGCAGGTGGCCCTCTGGAGCGTTAGGGCTGGCCATGGCAGGGGGCCGCCAGCACAGGGATCCCCATCTACCTCTGCTGTCCCCACAGACAGAGAAATGAAGACTTCCTCAGAGTCAAATCCAGTCTGCGTGGAAAAGGCTAAGTGACCTTGAGTAGGTCACAGTCGCGTGTCCTCATCAGGAAAACCAGCAGCTGCTTCAGGAGGTGGCCCGTTGGGGACGCTATCAAGCGAAACCAGGAATCCAAGAAAACTTAGCTTTCTTCCGGCCACGTGCCTACACACTTCTTGGGGGAAGGGTTTGGGACAAGGGACTGATTATGGAAACTGGGCACTTTGGATACTGCTCCTCGGAGACCAGAGGCATTCGGAATAAACTTAATTTGCTAAAAAAAAATATATATATATATATTTTTTTTTTTCTTTAAAGCCAAACAATATGCTTAGTCGAGTGATTAGGGCCCAGGATGAGTGAGAACCGGGGCAGAGGGAGGACAAAGACAGGCTGAGATGGGACTGTCCACCATGCATGGCTAGGAATAAAATCGGTTATTCCACACACGGTCTTTTGATGAGACTGTGTTAAATTGCTTCTGTCAATACCCGCCCCCCCCATCAAAACCACTGCATCAAATGGTCTGATCACTGCTGCTCCCCCACTCTCCTCCCATCACCCCACTGTGGGCCATCAGTCTGGT